ACCCAAAACGTGATGGAAAATTCAAAAACCAAAGTAAAGGGATCAATTGTGACCAAAATGTAAAGAAGAATGTAATTTGTTTTGCATGCAATCAAGCTGGACATATTGCTAAATTGTGTCCAAAGTTTAATGTCCTAAAGAATAATGGGGGAACCGCCAAAATAGCAGAAGTTCAAAAGGAGAATGAAGAAGAAGAAGAAATAGCTGTAGTAGCGGAGGAACACATTGAAACAACAGAGGAATTTGTCATGACAGCCCATGCGGGAAGTAGGTCCGAGGAGTTCAGGGATCTGTGGATTCTTGATTCAGGAGCATCCCACCACATGACGCCCTACAAGGATATATTCGACAACTTAAATGAGGGTGTAAGAGGAAACGTCATGTTGGCGAAAAGGAAGACGAGTACTCCTTTGCTGGGTAAAGGGAGTGTAGCCTTAAAGGTAACAAATGAATATGGAGGCAAGAAGTTAAGATTAAATAATTGTTCATATGTACCTGGTTTGGATTGTAACTTGTTGTCAATGAGACAATTAGATAGGTTGGGTTGTGAAGCACATATAAAGAATGGGATAATAACAGTCTCAAAGGATGGAGTTGTCATTTTTGTAGCCAGGGGAAAGGGAGATCAATTATACCATCTTCAGTGTGAATATTATACAGTGTCAGGCAAGAGTTTGATGTGTAGTATAAGTAGTAAGATGGAAATAGAAAAGAGAATGAATCTTATGAAGGCCAAGGCCCTGAAGTGTGAAGCCATATGGCATCAGAGATTTGGACATATGAAAACCCTACCAAAGTTTTGTGGTGTAGATGAGTGTCAATTAAATTGTGATGTATGCATCACAGGAAAGTTACACAGAAAGAAATTTTGTAAGAATTCCAAAAGTGCAGAGAATGTTTTGGAGGTGATACATTCAGATGTATGTGGAAAAATTACACCACAAAGCTTGGGTGGGAAACAGTATTTTGTAACCTTTTTAGACGATAACTCAAGATTCTCAACTGTTGAAGTTTTAACAAACAAGTGTGATGTATTACCAGCCTTTCAAAGATATGTAGAGAAAGTTGAAGTGTTACAAGAGAGACGAATTAAATTTTTACAATCAGACAATGGGGGAGAATATTGCAGTGCAGCATTTAATGAATACTTGGATCAGAAAGGAATAGGCAGAAGGTTAAGTGTAGCTAGAACCCCACAACAAAATGGACGCTCTGAGAGGTTGAATAGAACTTTGCTATGCATTGTTCGTTGCATATTAGAGAATGCAGGATTGCCGAAGTCTTTCTGGGGAGAGGCGGTACTCACCGCAAGTAATATTAGAAATTGTTGCCCATCTAAAGCAATCCAAGGAAGAATTCCCATTGAAGTCTGGTCTAAGAAGGCATTTACTATAGATATGGCCAGAGAAATGAAAGTTTTTGGCTGCAGGGCTTGGGATCTGAATTTAAATGTCAAGGATAAACTTGACAGCAGAGCAGTTGAATGTATTTACCTTGGTAGTGCTAGGGACGCTAAAGGGTATAGACTCTATAGTGTAAATGAGAAGAAGATTCGCATATCCAGAGATGCTAGGTTTGAAGAAAGTGTTTTTCCTTATAAGACTATTATTCGAAAGACTGTGATTCAGACTAAGAGTGAAACACCCATTTATGTATATGATTCAGACTGTACTGATACAGAAGACAATGTGGGTGGGTCACATCCCAGTGTAGATGAGAATGATGATAAACCTAGTATAGTAGGTAATGACATAAATGTGGATAATTTGGAAAATGTACCCCAAGAAAATGTACAACCCCGTAGAACCACGAGAACTATTAAGCAGAAAGTTGTATGTGAATGTTGTGCTAAAGTAGATTGTGGTGAAATTACATTGGCAGAACCTAAATCTGTAGGGGAGGCGCTTAGTAGAATTGATAGAGATCACTGGATTGGAGCAATGAAATTAGAGATAGAGAACTTGAAGAAAAATCAAACTTGGGAAGTTGTGAGAAAACCAAAGAATGTTAATGTTATAGGTTCCCGGTGGGTATTTAGCCTGAGAAAGAAAGATGATGGCACTTTTAAGTATAAAGCCAGGTTAGTAGCCCAAGGTTTCCATCAAGTTTATGGTATAGATTTCTGGGATAGCTATAGCCCAGTAATGCGACGAGCGTCCTTTAGGATCCTAATGGCTTTGTCTGTTGATAGAGGATGGGAGGTTGATCATGTCGACGTTGTAGGTGCATATTTAAATAGTACTCTGAAAGAAATTGTATACATGCGCCAACCCGAACTGTTTGAAGAGGGTAATGCTGATGATGTATGTTTACTTTTGAAAAGCATATATGGATTACATCAATCTGGGAAGGACTGGAATGATACTATTACTTTCATCTTTGTCAGTTTCGGATTGAAACAGTGTACTAAAGATCCATGTGTTTTCTTTAATGACAGGATTATTGTGGCTATTTATGTCGATGATATGATTATTTGTGGAACTAGAAAGGATGTGAATGACTGCAAAAGACAACTTTCTCAAAGGTTAAACGTTAAAGATTTGGGACCTGTGTCAAATTTTTTAGGTATTAATGTGGATAGACCCAATGGATATGTAATTAAAATACATCAAGAAAATTATGTGAATGAAACACTGAAAACTTTTGGTATGCTTGATTGTAAAGGATGTGTAACTCCAAGGGACCCAAACTATAACAATTTTCTCGATGGTGACAAGCCCTTTGATGAGATTCAGTACAAGGCAGCAGTAGGTAGGTTGCAGTACATTGCCACTTGTACTAGACCAGATATTGTTTTTTCAACAAATCAAGTCAGCAAGTTTTGCCATTGTCCGACCAAAGGGAGATGGCTGGAGGTGATGAGAATTATGAGATACTTGAAACATACAATTAAATACCGGCTGACCTATGAAAAATCTGAAATTGACCCAGTAATTTATTCTGATTCTGATTTTGCTAACGATGTACATGACAGTAAATCCGTGGCGGGTTATGTTATCATGATGTCAAAGGGAGCTGTGTCTTGGAAGTCCAAGAAACAAGACATTGTAGCCACATCTACCAACGAAGCTGAGTATATAGCATTATATGAGTGTAGCAAGGAAGTTATTTGGATGAGAGAGTTTCTGTCAGAAATTAATGTAGCAGTATCTACTCTTAGTATAATCTTTGGAGACAATTTACAGGCAAATGATATGTGCACAAAGAATAAGATTACTGAACGCAACAAGCATTTTAGAATGCGGCAACATAAGATTAGAGAATATGTTAATGATGGAGATATTAGTATCCAGTATGTAGATTCAAGCACTAATTGTGCTGATATGCTGACTAAAGCTACTAATGGTCCAAAGATAAATGAGCTGTCTTTAAAGATAGGTTTGAAATTCGGTGTGGAATTGTAAACTTGTTTTACTTTTGGTTATTGTAATTATAGATTTTGACTGTAAAATATGTCCAACAAGGGGAGGTGTTGTAATACTATAGTTCTAGTGTTGGCCATATTTATTTGGTGATATTTATTGTTTATAAGTTGGTACCACACCCACTGCTACTTTCTTCCTGTGTGTACCTTTGGTATCCTGTAATGTTCATTCAGTCTCCAGTAAACGTTAGATTTGGACGAAGGCGTTTCATTTCTTATCCGTTTTTACCTCGATGATCCAATGTGATTTCACAAAGGAAACAACATTTCCCTGTAGTTTTCATCATCAATGTCATCCTCTTCACTGTCAGACACAGGGTGAGCACCTGTGGGTGTGACATTTGGGGCATCTTGCTCTTCATTTGTAACATTAATGCCACTTCTTGGAATGAAGTCATTATCATAGTCAACTGTATTTAAATATTCCAACATGCCAGAGTCATCTAACCTGCTTGGACCAGCCACTGTCTTGTTAAAAATGTAAAATAACTAACTACATATACTATGTATAAATTCTGAAAAATATAACAAAAATATAAGTAATATAACTTTATTATAAAAACAAAATACTGCCACTAAACTATGATATATTCAGAATAAAACAACTACAACCACAGACAAAGAAAGCGTTGAACCACCAAGCACACATGTGAGCTCAACACTTTTCATCTGTTTCCCCAAAAAAAAATATTTTTGTAAGCAAAGGGATGCCATCTAAGCGCAAAACTGTGAAAAAGGCCTTGGAGAATTAGGTACTATCTGTGTGGCCACCTTTGAGCCATTTATGTAACTAAAACAGCACAATTTAGATGGAGCCAATAGATTGGTCACCTGAGTATTCTGGCCATTACCTTATCCACCAATAGATCGGAAGGCTGAGAGTATAAGGGTTAAACTTCTTAATTCAATACAAGACATTTTTATGCATTCCAAGAAGACATGGAGAACATTCACGGTCAAGTGGACAACACTCTCACTTCATATTCAGGAAGTCCCCAGTTCAAATTTTGGCCCAGTGACCAGTTATCCCAATAAGATTTTTCATAATTTTCCTCATTCACTCCAAAATCTCCCTTGACCTCAAATTAGGCCATGATTGTTTCCTTCCACACTTCCTCCAATTACTTCTGGAATACTCTATCCCTAGTGTTCACATTCATGCTAAGATAAGCCAGAGAGGCATTAATGCCTCTGACTTACCTCTGAATATTGCCTAAAATAATGACGTCAGACTTCACTCCTTTCAAAACATGTATGGTGAAAAATAACACAAAATTTACTGGTTTCTTATGCATTCAACATAGGGATGCTTTGTGCATATGTTTTCATGTTTAGTACTTGCCGATTACTACCTATTTCCAAGAATGAAACTAGCTTGGAGTAATGCAAGTGACAGTTAAGAAAACGATGAAAAAGACTATAATGGCTGCACTCAAGGAGTTACAGGGAAATGCCTGTAAGAGTACACTGACAGAAATATATGACAGCAGAGTAGCACTACAATGGTTTGCAGTAACAACAGCACAGTTTCTGCCCACAAAATTGTTAACTCCAATATGTATTTCAAGTCACATACCAATACAACTATGGCAGATATGCTTGAAGTACAAAGGGTTTTCATGTTGAATGTGTATGCCTTCCAAGCTGCACATAGTTTATCTGGATATCGTCCAGGAATGTGGTGTAGTTCTTCAGCCAACAAAAATGTTCTCAAAGCAACATGTAGCAATACACTAGTAGTTACTCCAACAGCTAATCCTGTAACTGAACATCATCGTCATCATAACTGTTGTCATCAACATTGGCCAAACAACCCTTTTTGAGCCACAGCCTTCCTTGGAAGATTCTGCCAGATTTGTCTATTAATTCAACAATCTGACCACCTCTGTGGTCTAGTGGTCAGAGTTCTTGGCTACAGATCCAGAGGTCTGGGTTCGATTCCCGGCGCTACCAGATTTTCTGAGTAGTGGTGGGTCTGGAACAGGGTCCACTCAGCCTCAAGAGGATAACTGAGGAGCTATTTCAAGGAAAGAGGCTCCGGTCTAGAAAACCGAAATTAACGGCTGTGACGATTTGTTGCGCTGACGACGCGACACCCTCTATCCGCTAAAGTTGGCACTAACTTTGCTGACAAGTGGCGGTGGCTCAGTCAGTATAGTTTGCTTATGGACTAAATCCATGGAACTTATCTGGTTTCACTTCTTTGGATTTTGGGACAACTATTCTTTTATAAAGCAAGGTCATCAGCCTTGCATCCAGTCCCACACCTGGAGGCCTAGGTCTCTGTATTTACAAGGTGCGGCAATAAAGAAACCGGATTACTTTTATGACTCATTTCCGGCCACGTCGATGACGAAGAGGAGGGTAGGGCATTGACCCGTGGACTTCCCTCTACCGTCACACAAAGTTTCATTCACGCGCATCGGTTAGTCTGGCCGCGACCAGTGTTAGAAGCGGATCGTGTGTCTGAGCTCCGTCGGAATAATGCTCAGTGCTAATGTAGAACAACGTGTTAACATCAAATTCCTCACAAAACTTGGAAAATCAATCACTGAAACTTGCAATTTGTTGACAGAAGTATATGGTGATCAGTGTCTATCTCGCACACAAGTTTTTGAGTGGTTTAAGAAGTTTATGGAGGGTAGGAAAAACGTCGGGAACGATCCAAAATCGGGCCGTCCTTCCACTGCGAAAACTGTAGAGAATGTGGAGAAGGTCGCTAGAATTGTTCGAAGAGATCGTCGACTGAGCATTCGAGCAATTTCTGAACTTACCAACATCAATAAGGAAAGTGTTAGACAGATTTTGCACGACGATCTGGGCATGAAAAAGGTGTGTGCTAAAGTGGTGCCAAAAATCCTTACCCCCCAGCAAAAGGAACATCGAGTGAATTGCTGTGTTGACACTCTTGAAAACATTGAAAATGATCCTGATTTCTTCCAAAACGTAATTACGTGTGACGAAACTTGGATTCTTCAATATGATCCAGAGACTAAGCGACAATCCATGCATTGGAAGAGCCCCAAATCCCCTAGGAAGAAGAAAGCGCGCATGAGCAAGTCCAAATTCAAAGCAATGATGATTGTTTTTTTCGATATCCGGGGGGTAATCTACATTGATTGGGTGCCTGAAGGTCAGACTGTCAATCAGGTTTATTATAAAAATATTTTGACGTCCCTTCGTGAACGTGTGCGACGAAGGAGACCAGACATGTGGAAGAATGCCTCATGGGTTCTTCATCACGACAACGCGCCAGCACACAACGCGCTATCTGTGAAGAGGTATTTGGCAAAAAACAACATTCCAGTGATGGAACATCCACCGTATTCTCCGGACCTAGCACCGTGCGACTTTTTTCTCTTCCCAAAAATCAAGTCTGCGCTGAAAGGGACCAGGTTCGAGTCCGTGGATGCAGTGAAAGCAAAAGCGACGCAACTCTTGAAGAGCATAACACAAGATGACCTGCAGCACTGCTTCAAACAGTGGAAAATTCGCATGGAGCGGTGTAGGGATCGGGGAGGGGACTACATTAAAGGGGATAACATTTCGATTGTCTGATTTTTTTTTCAATAAAGGGTTAGAGCATGAATCCGGTTTCTTTATTGCCGCACCTTGTATATTACCCAGTGACAGGGTGGCCCAGTCATACCCCCAGGCACTGGGTTCATCGCCTTCTATGACTCACAGGTCGATGGAGGAGGTATTGTAGCCCATCTCCACACAGGATAACTGAACATAATATCTACATAAAATGCAGCAGACTTACTTAAAAAAATTTTCGTACACTGTAGTTGCTACTTCATATTGTACCCAAACATTACCTACCGGCCTAAGTCTTGAATATTAATACTTAGGACTTAATACCGATCTTGTGTTATAGGCGACATATGCCCATGTTTTCTGCAACTATTCTGAGAATTTGTGGCAAAGAATGTTTATGTAAGAGCTATGTTAGCTGGCGCAGTATATGAATCACTTACCCCTCCCACCAGCTCATTTAAAGAAACTTCCAGAACATTCTAAATCCACAGAACAGTGAGAAGGCTTCGAGAAAGATCTCGATGCGGAAGGTTCTAGAATATTATGCCACCCAAGATTATTTAATGGACTGATTTCAGATGGCACTGATACAGTAATACAATAGTATCAGCAATATATAGTAGTATACAGAATGTGTGTATACATGTAACATTCAGTGTGCAGTATTCATAATATTCAGGGCATTCATTGTAACCATTGGGTGTTGTGTACCAGAAAAGTTGTATCCGTGACCTAAAGTGACTAATTTGTAAAATCGTGTAGTGTGGTGGACAATAAATCAAGTTCAACAGTTTCATCATCAAAGTGTGATCCAGTGACTTCTTCGATAAACCTTCTCTCACCACAGCAACACGTGCTGAGCTCTGAAGAGAATCTCATGCTGACACCCTGAACATCATTCCCTTTTTCCTGCCCTCAAGCCATTCTCCACATTTCGACGTGGTTCTAAGACCACATGGCATCCACAACTATAACTGAGGCTACATCATTGAGGGCGCAAAAATATTGTTAAAAGTGCCATCCTCAACATGGGGCAGTGTCAAGAGCAGTTAAAAGTGGTCGTCCAGCATGTGGCTACTACGCAAAAGGAAGGACTGTTAAAATATCATGCTCTTTACTCCATTATTAAACAAACGGCAATTTAACTTTTGAAATTCTGAACTTCAAAGTAGTGCTGCACCTACCAAGAACTACACTGAAATAGCAGAGCTCTATCATTCTGACACCTAAAAAAAAGCATGAAACAGCAACAGACAACACCGCATGACATGCTTTAACCAAATGAGTTACAATAACTACAGTCTATATATATGGATTTTATAAAAAATATCAGTTTTTTCACTCACAAGAAATGTATGGCTCAGATATTTTTAAGTCCTTAGTTTTCTATATATACATATGCATTGTGAAGTCTCACTTTAGTATGGTACCCCCCTGAAGATAGCCTTGTAAGAATCCCTGTAACAGGCTGTGGAGGCCCATAGGGTTGTGAGATGCTGAGGTTCCCACATTTTCTAGACAATCAGCTCACAGATGGTGGTGAGGTTGTCAGCCTTATGCACCAGCCACCCTTTACCCCCAAGAACATTCCTGGTACTCATTTCTGTTATAGACTGAGTCGACCCCAGGGCCATAGTGCGGCTGGAAGGATTAGAAAAATTGAAAAAATCCATCTCATTGGGATTTGATCCCGTGACCTTCTGGCTTTTGTAGCATAGTGCCTCAACCAACTATGCTACCGTGTGCCCCTCAAAATAAACTAGATAAGATGATAATTTGCATCTTGTTCTAATACTTGTATACAGGAAAGTGAACTTTACCAAAAAGTAGCATACATTACAGGAAAATAACCCAGCTCCTATATTTCAATTTCAGTGCATTTAACACGACAATGACCAAGCATCACAGAGACCTAATACAGAATACCTTCTATTGACACTTGACTCAATCATATCATATGGTTCAACAGGAGCTGCTGCACCTATCAAGAAACTGTTACCTATTACGCTCCAGCTTTTGCTGAAAAGACCTACAGAGGGGAGGTATGTGTATTTATGTTAGAACAAATCAACATTTCAATAAAATTGATATTTCTCATCACAGCAAGGAGCAGGACTTTGAAATCTGTGCAATTCAATTAGTAACTAGAACATCTAACCTAATTATTTTAAGCTTGTACAGAGCTTCTTCAGGAGATGTTCATGAATTTCTAGGGAGACAAGACACAACTTTAAAATATTTGTACAATCTAAAATCTGAGTTTATAATCTGTGGAGACAAACATAACTATCTAATGAAAATAACTAAAATCTGAGTTTATAATCTGTGGAGACAAACATAACTAAATATTGAAAATAACCATAAAAAACAAGTAAGTTCTTTACTGAAGACTTATGATTTGTCACACACTGGTGAATTTTGCAACAAGAATTCAAATTCCTCGAGTACAGCCACTGATAATATTTTTATACATAGTATAAGGTTAAACACAGAGGAAAATAAGTATATGTTGCTGTCTCGTCACCAAAAAGCAGGGCAAAATCATGATATAACGATAGGAAACAGATGTTTTGAAAATGTGGCACAGTTCAGATATTTGGGAATGATAACAGATCGAAACCTGATTCAGGAGGAAATTAAGAGGAGACTGAACTCTGGTAATGCTTGCTACCATTCAGTCCAGAACCTTTTGTCTTCTTGTCTGCTGTCCAAAAATATAAAAATTAAAATATACAAAAGTATTATTTGGCCTGTGGTTCTGTATGGGTGTGAAACTTGGTCTCTGACATTAAGGGAGGAATATAGACTGAGGGTGTTTGAGAACAGGATGTTGAGGAGAATACCTGGACCGAAGAGAGATGAAGTGACAGGGAGATGGAGAAAACTGCATAATGAGGAGCTTCACATCTTGTACTGTTCTCCAAGTAGAATGATCAAGTCAAGGAGGATGAGGTGGGCAGGGCATGTAGCACGAATGGGGGAGATGAGGAATGTGTATAGGATAATGGTGGGAAAGCCAGAAGGAAAGAGACCACCAGGAAGACAAAGGCGTAGGTGGGTGGACAATATTAAAATGATGTAAGATCTGAGGTTTTCACGGCAGTGACTATGAAGAAAGCCGTCTTCTGGGATGTGGCACCGTGTAGAAATTGGTTAAAACAATTTCTACATGGCGCCACATCCCAGAAGACGGCTTTCTTCAATATTAAAATGGATCTTAGAGAGATAGGATGGGATGGTATGGATTGGATTGATCTGGCTCAGTATAGGGACCAGTGGAGGGCTCTTATGAACACGGTAATGAACCTTCGGGTTCCATAAAATGCTGGGAAATTCTTGAGTAGCTGCAGAATTGGAGCCTCCTCCAAAAGGGCTCAGCTCCATGAGTAAGTAAGTACAAGGTTAAGTTGTTCTTGTACCTCTCCTAGAGTCAACGACCTCTCAGACCACATTGTTCAATTCCTTACAGTATATAATATTACTACAATACAATCTAATACCCTTGAAACAAAGAACCAGAAAAATAAATATTGAAACCAATGCTCAATTTCAGCATCTATCAGAAAATGAAACATTGGAACCTGTTTTAAAAATAAGGATACAAACTATAAATTTAACTCTTTTTTATGTATTTTTCTAAATATCTTTGAAGCTAGTTTTCCTATTTACAATAAAAGTGTAGGTAGAATAGAAAACAATTGGATTGCACAAGGAATAAAAATGTCTTTCACATGTAAAATGAGTCTATATATATATATATAGCAGGAGCAGGGATCTTCCCTGATCATCTTAAGATTTCAGCAGTAAGACCACTATACAAAAAAAGGTGACAAGAACCAGTATAAAGGAAGCAGTCTTCTGGGATGTGGCACCATGTAGATGTGGTGTTAACCGACGTTTCGGAGGAATGTATCGCCTCCATCTTCAGGGTAGAAGGAAAAAAAGAAAATCCGCAAGTGAAGAGACAGTGAGAACAGGTGCAAGCAGACTAATTTTGGAAATAAACTCAGCTATATGAGAGCAGGAAAGGAAGGGACAAATCTACATGGGAAATCAGTGGAGAGGGAGAGGGGAAGGGTCTGGGAATGGGAGCAAGGTTAGAGCAGGTATAGGATATTGTGTCAGGGGAGAAAGGCAAGGTTAATGGGAGGGCATTAACCCTTAAGCTGGGGGGGTTTCTATGTGAGTCAGTCATGGACTATGTGGCCTTGTGGATCCAGCGTCATGTCCCTGAGGGGGGGATTTAGGGAACAGATGAGACGCTTCCATGACTTGCTGAGACAGAAAGGGGGGAGGGGCATTCTGTTGGTTGAGGCACTATGCTACAAGCTGGAAGGTCGTGGGTTCAAGTCCCGATGAGGTAATAGGATTTTTTCAATTGACCTAATCCTTCCAGCAGCACTATGGCCCTGGGATCAACTCAGCCTCTAACAGAAATGAGTACTAGGAATTAATTAAATAATTTTCCTGGGGAGCAAAGCGCGGCCAGCGCGTAAGGCTGACAACCTTACCGCCATCTTTGAACCGATTATCTAGATAATGTGGGAGCCTCAACATCTCACAACCCTATGGGCCTTCGTGGCCTATTGCAGGGATTGCTTTACTTTTTTTTTACTTTACTTCTGTGTAAATCAAGAAATTTTGTAATTGAATTACATTTTGTTTGGCATTCAAGGAGCAACAGAAAGTTGGTTCAGATCCTACCTAACAGATAGAAAACACAAGATTGAAATAAAACGATCAAATTTAACCAAAAGTATCCACTCAAACTGGGCAGTTCTCCTGGGGTCAATTTTAGGGCCTCAGCTTTTCCTAATCTATACAAGTGACCTCCCTCCTACAATCAACACCTCTTCAATACTAAAATATATGCTGATGACACTAGTGTCATAATTTCTAGTAAAAACATTAGACAATTTCTGCATACCACAAATGATGGGTGTCAAATCTTCTAAATCTTGTAGAGATCTATTTCAGAGACAAGAGTTCTTAACTCGTCCATATGAATACATATTTTCATTAATAATCTTCATTACAAATAAAGAAAAACATTTTCAGACCATTGCAGATGTACACCTTCAAAGATAGTTTACAAAATGCCACATGAATATCAATAAAAATGTGATAGTTGCAATTATTAGTCTTGTTGGTGACTACAGCTTCATTTTCAGTTCTTCAAAAGCAATTACATGAGTCCTGTTCAAGTAAACACCCACAGTCACTAATAATAATACTTCCTCTTGTACCATTCAAATAAATAAGATACTGTATTTGTAGAAACATAAAGAGACTTTTTTTTCCTATATTTATGATGTGAAAAAAGGTGTCACTTTTATAATTATGAACACAGCATAATACAAGTATACTTCACAAGGATGATGTTTACATAACCAGTAGTACAAATTACTCGGTGCTTTCCATATGAATGGCATTGCTATCCAGAGCACAAGCATATGTAGGATGGAACTATTAGTTTACACCTACACTATATAATGAACTTCCTGTTTTCGTGGATTCAAGTTTTGTGAAAAGGGATCACCTTATATTTCATTAAGTATAATTACAAAGCAATATCCAGAGTACTCAAATTATATCCCATTTGTAATCACAACAAACAATCCCCTCTCCATCTCCACAAAGGTACCAATATTATGGTTCGAGGCTTATTTAAGTGACAGGTTCTCATTCATTCAGTATATTCCTTTTAACAGTTCAGAAGCTTTTCTTACCTTCATACATTATGACCTCTCCCAGGCCTTCTTTATGGTTCACCACTACTCCTCCAACTGAAAAAAAAAAAAACAAAAATAAAGAAATGATAAAGACCCAGTCAAAGATAATTTCCATCACCAGCAACCTTTTTGCCATACAATTTTTAAACATTTCCATCATAAACAAACCATAGTTTCGCAATGGTCAATTCTGGGGACTTTGTTTTTCGTAATCTACATAAATGACCTTCCTCCAAAAGAGGGACTAACTATACCAATTGGGACTGAGAAGGTTTTACTTGAAGACGGAGACAGAATCCAGTCTCCGAAACATTGTGTTCTGAAATATAAACAGAACGGTGTTTTAGATAAAAACAGGATGATGGATGTCAAGAAATATAATATTTGTAATAAATACCTTCTCTGTAACCACATTCACTGATGTCACTAATGCCATAATTTCTAGTAAAAATTTGAGCTTTCTGTATATTATCAAACAGACCTGTCTCTTCCATAAGCAAATGGTTTACTGATAATCAATCCACCACAATATTCACTAAACAGTGGATATGATGATAAATACACAGAAGAGTCTGTAAACACCAAATTCATTGGTTTAAAAATTGATAACCACTTAAAGTGAAAAAATCACATATCCATTGGTTCCTAAGTCAAGAGAAGCATGTTATGCTGTTAGATCTATGTCACATATCAGCAATACTCACATTCTCAAATCAATTTATTTTGCCCATTTTTACTCTACAATCAAATAAAGAATAATTTTCTGGAGTAATTCATCTACCAGAAAGAAAAGATAGTTACCATATTACTTCAAATATAAGACACACATTTTACACACTTTTTCCTCATTGAAAAATTGAGGTGAATCTTAAATTCAAGGAATGTGCACCTTTCTATTTTCTTTCCTTAAACTCACATTCAAGAACTCGATGTGTCTTAAATTAAAGAGTGTTTAATATGGTATATTACAAAACAACACTGTTAGAATTATGTGGATAATAATCCTAGAAATTCAAGTAGAGGTCAATTTAAGAGATTAGAATACACATTTTCAAATTTCACTTTTGATATCCACTCCACTATTATTGATGCTGATGCTCTTTTTATTTTGCCACTAGGCATATATGATTGTCTTTACTCAGCATGCCATCATAGTATTTAGGGACAAAGTGCTTGAATGGTTTGTTAATTGACATATTAAGTGGCTGTAACTGACTTCTCAAGCCACTAAGAATTATACACTAATATATTGGGTTTTTGGACTTTATCCATCATCCTGGTTTTTAAGATAACTAATAAAAACATGACATTTCGGAAACTGGATCTGTTTCCGTCCTCAGGTGAAGGAAAACATCTGCATAGAAATGAAGGGTCTTCATGCAAAGTGATCATTACACCTGCCTGATTTTTACCATACTTGGAACTGCCTTAAAACACTTAGTGGAAGTCTTCATGTCAGATTTTAAAATACTTTGTCCAGCAGTTCAGATGTTGATATCAGGTCACAGACAAATCGTCAGACATGACTTCCTCATCAGCTCTTCTTTCTTACTTGCTGAACAACGCATAAAAAAGGAAGGAAAAAAGTAAGTAAAGGTATCCCTGTAACAGGCCATGGAGGCCCATAGGGTTGCGAGATGTTGAGGTTCCCACATTTTCTAGACAATTGGCTGATAGATGGCGGTAAGCTTGTCAGCCTTATGCACTAGCTGCTCTTTACCCCCAAGAATATTCCTGGTACTCATTCCTGTTAAGAGGCTGAGTCGACCCCAGGGCCATAGTGCGGCTGGAAGGATTAGGTCAATTGAAAAAAAATCCAATGACCTCATCAGGACTTGAACCAGGGTCCTTCAAGCTCGTAGCATAGTGCCTCAACCAACTATGCAACCGCATGCCCCCCGCTGAACAATACATATTAGAAAAGTTGACAGAAATGGATATTTATGCTTTTGTTCAACCAGACTGATTTAATGTTAGAAGCATATGCTGCCTGTTTTTATTGGTGAATGTTGAAAGCATATGCACTTATAATAAATCTGTCACAATATAAATATATCTTACTAATTAATAAAATAGCAATAAAACCAGCGATGCACATCTGTGCTCTGTTGCCTCTGTCACCTGGTAATCCACGTGGATACTGAATTCTAGATCCATCACTTTTCTCCCTTGCTACCTAGACAGAGAAGCATGCAAATTATTTAAAAAGCCAGTGACAGCAAAATTATGGAAACTACAACTAAGTGCGGTCATTATGTGACAGATGACAAGAGGTGCATTCCAGTTTGAAGGTTGGGCTTACGAGCCACCACCACGATAAACTGTAGAAACTTCTGTAGCAGAAGTTTAATATGGAAAGGTTGAATCTCAGAAACTTGTAAAATGTCAACCTTCAAGAACAATACAGCCTGAAATAGGTCTGATGGTTTGGAAAACTTAGAAGGATATATAGATATCAACAAGTTAAGGAAACAACAACAGATAATATTCAAATTTCACCCAGAGCCTAGGTTACTGAAAATTAAACAGGAACAAAAGCAAAAGTTTGAAGAAAGAGGCGGGCCAATTGCAGTGGCTGCAGAATCTGAAACAACTGAATGTCAATAACATCAACAATGTAAAACATGTAAATGGACCACCTCTTAGAAACAAGAAGAGGGAACACTACAACAGAAAAACAGAAAGAGGCGGGCCAACTGCAGTGGCTGCAGAATCTGAAACAACTGAATGTCAATAACATCAACAATGTAAAACATGTAAATGGACCACCTCTTAGAAACAAGAAGAGGGAACACTACAACAGAAAAACATATGTAATGTGCTTGAAAGCTAGCAAAGATTTGTACAAAAGTATACATACGTTAGAAGAAGGATTGCCAACCTGGCATAAGCATTATTACAGATCCCCAAAATATTTTGAACAGTTAAAAAATTACTTTCATGGGTGATTAAATGTACATGGGAGTTAAATTAGGCAAACCGAAACACATACTCCTGACTCATTAGTATTTCATCATTCTTGACGAAGTTTTAATAACTATTCAAAAATATAAAACACTGAGCTACAGCGAAGCTCCCCTCCCCGCCAATTTAAAGTTTCTTTGGGGACAGGTGGATCTGAAAGCATCATTCCACATATTTCTGACATTATCCTCCACAACACAACTGCGACAGTGAAAATAAAGACTTTGTGTAATAATACTTCAGTATTACGTATCCAGCACGAACTTCGTGTTAAACTTGTATTTTAATTACTCACATTATACATTTTACCACCTCCGTGTCAAAATCACTGACTACAAGTATTTACAAAATACGCCATTACGTACTGCCAAGACATCAGTCACTATGGTCACTATCTTCTGTACGTTCTGTATCTACTTCGCTCTAAAACCTCTAAAACGAAAAAACGAAGCACACACACTTAGAACACTTAGACTTAGAAGACCAGAGAACCAGAGTACACGTCATATCGATCGATGTCGATTATGTTACCACATCGATCACAACACAAATCTCTCAGATTGAAAATTATGCCTCCCAGATCGTACCCAGTGCAAACCCAAGAGCACTTCGGCACGCTCTAAGGCTCTGAGGAGATCTAGCAGGAGATACTATAAACTCTAGGTTTACGATTTAGTAGGCAGTGGTTCAGACGGATGACAACAAAAGAGGTTGTTAAAGGGGGAGGTAGTGGAATAGAATTTGAATTGAATTATTTTGCGTTGATTTGGTAAGATTATATTAAGGCGGTGAAAGTGACAAAGAATATGAAGAGAAGAAATGCCGAATGTGGCAAGCTCCGGAGGCCTTTAAAGCGAAACAAAATTACTGAAGGAATTTATGGAAGGTGAGAGCAATCGCCATATGTTTATCAAAATGGCTGACTTATAACAGGTTAAGCATAGATAATACCTTCTGTTTACATCTAATGGTGTAGGAATGCCATTATCGAAATTAAGCCTGTTGTTTTGAAGATCGCACGTATTTTTGGAGATATACGTATGATGCTTGAAATAGTCATAACGAGTACTGTAGATGTTTCTGAGTGGTGAGCTATCATTCAGGTTTCCTTATTGAATGCCTACCTTCTACTAATGTGCTTTGTAAAGTGTAAAGCAAGCATTTAAATATGCATTATGATGCCTTATTCTGGCCATTAATATCAAAGTAGAAAGCACTTTATCAGTGATTTAGAACTGTCAAATTTTGGGACAAGATTCTCACTGCCCTAATATGCGAAAATGAGCATACTGAACTTCTTGAAGTGTTAGTGATTGGCTGGAATAGTATAGTTGTAGTACTTAGAGCTGACAGTCCTCCGACGCGGAGTAGGAGAAGTATTGGTAGTGGCAGGGAGAGCTCCAGCATGCCGACAAGTGTGGTGGGGAATGCGGTACAGGCGTTCTCAAAAGGAAATAACTTCTTACCTCATTGTGTTGCAAAGTGATGGTGGTTTAGTCTCGTTGATGTTCACACATCCGATGTTAAGTTTTAAGTGCCGAATGGCAGACTGTTATGCACTATACACTATTATACACTTTTCACTCTTATATACATGAAGATTTTATTTACATATTACACGGGTCTATTCTAAAGGGGCACACCCGCAGTGTCTGCATAGATATCATCTCCACATGCCTGTCCTTCCACGTCACCACCAGATGAATCAGAGCTATAATCAGAACTGTCATCACTATCCCCACCAACATGGAAGACGAACTCCCGTCCTGCATCCAAAAGGCCTTCCCATGCCATTAATTGTTGCTCAATGTTCCTTACATGTTGGCACCTACGTTGCCATTCTTCTGCAGTTATGGAAGCCAATTTTTGGTCTGCCAGTTTAATGACGTCATCCGTCTTAAATGTGGTATTATTTTGAGCAACCCAATTTCTTACGGTGGCCCATATTAACTCACTTGTGTTGAGTTCTGGGTGATACAGAGGGAGTCGTAAAATATTGTGATTGTGTTCTGCAAAGATTCCATCTATTTTATAGGAAAGGTATTTTGGTTCGAGTGGTAGGATCATATTATATATGTCTGGATTCTGCAATGATGAAAAATCAGTGTTATTGAAGGTAATAGGTGGAAGGTAATATTTTAGCCAGGATATCATAAAATCTCTTCTTGAATTTGAGTTAGGGGCTGTGTTTAGTTGTACATTATGATAAGGAGCATTAGCAATGACAAGGACAGAATTTGGGGGAAGGTTAGGAATAAGTCGCTCCTTTAACCATTTTTCATAATTGGTGTAGTCAATGTCACTGTGGTAGTCTCCTGTTTTTTGGTGGGATTTGAAGCGGACATAGGCATTAGGGATGAAACCTTTCTCTCCCCCTACATGTATAACGATGAGCCGTTGACCTTTAGACACGGGAAAATAATCCCTGGATGGATCCATCACTCCATGCATATGGGGTGGTGTGCGATGAATGAATATAGGTTTCATCCCTGTAGATGATTGGGTGGCCCTCATCCCTATATTCTTTAATTTGCCGCAAATACTGAAGACGTTTGGCTCTGATATTATATCGTTCCACCAGTATCTGCCGATTATTTTTTGTTTTCTTCCAGTGGAACCCCAGTGTCAAAATAATTTTCTTTAATGTGGAGATGCATCCCTGAAAATCTAACATTTTCTTCAACTTTTCGTGAACTTTTTTCAGGGTTTGTCTCCGTTTTTCGACTATGTAGAAGTCATTAATTGTCCTTCGCACCACAGACTCGTTAAAGTCATCCAAAATGGCTAGTGTAGATTTCCTAGGTCTTTCTCTGTGGGGTGTCGAAAAGGAAGTGGAAGCCCCAGATTCTATATTTTTTGTTTCTCTTGTGGGGTCTTACGTCTTATGTAGTTTTGTCATTACTCTGATGACAACCCACTTCTTCGGGACAGTCTGTTGGTCCTGAAAAGGACCGTGGTTGCTGAGATGCTTGACCGGTGAGGTAGCGCGGCGCACGCCGGTAGGGAGAGAGGTTAGTTGTGGTGAGTGGACTGGCCGTAGTGCGGCCGTTGCTTTATCGCCGTGTGGCAGATGGTGGAGGTTGCTTGATCACAGCGTAGCGGCTGCTGGTGAAAGGCTGGTCGTTGAGCGCGGTCATAGGAGTGATGAGGCAGTGGCTACACCAGATGCCCAGTGGGCCGGACAGGGACACGACCACCGGCGAGTTCAGGCAAGGTGTCCCAGTGAGTCGGGTGTGAGAGAGCCAGAGGGCCGAGGCAGTTGTGCCTGGCGCAGCCTGCCGATGCCTCCGAAGACCGAGCGCTGGCGACGAAGCCTGCTGGCTGATGTTGCTTGAGTGTGGCTTGATCGTAGACTGAAGTCAAACTGATGCTGCCGATTTGCGGCTGCTCCTTTTTATACACTGCTCGGTGGGTGGAGCGAAACTTGAAATTGAGGAGGAAGGATTTGCAGGGCGCTGATTGGCTAGTGCGCGTGATGATGTAGATGCGGGGCTAGCAGCGAACGCAGTATAAATGCGAACGTTTGGAGCAATTTGATTGGTTAGGGCGAGTGATGGTGAAAAGTGATGTGAAGAGAGTGCATTGCAGAAAATGCGTGATAATGTTGGATGTTCCCACACTGTTATTATTCTTCTGACACTACTTTCCGATACACCTGTTGTCTTTGCTACTTCCACGCCTATTTTCTTCACTGTAATTGTTGGCCCAGCCTCTTTCATATACATTACTAACAAAATCTCTTTATTGTGAATGCATGTTAAAAGAGATAGAAAAAATGTACAAATATAAATAAACAAAGAAGAAAATCAACGAATAAAAATAAACAATAAAATAAAATATCAGTACAGTAATTAGAGAATAATACACTCAAATATGATGCCAAGAGTCAAAAGTTTTTAACTTGACTGTACAAGGAAGAATGCTCTTGAGACGTCTGCTCGCACTGAATGCAGATGAATGACTAATCACAACACCCCTCAACTTTCACGAATGGACCTGCCCATCCACTGCGCAGCTTTTCCTGGACTGTCACCTCTAAATACTAGAACATTAATGTGTTTTATTCATAGTTATATAAGGAACAATAATTGCAGGTTAAGAAGAGTTATGTGGAGTTCACATATACCCAAGATTAAGTGCTTGTTTCTTTTAAATGCAATGCACTTATACATTTTGGAGTACATATAAGTAGTAATATTTGAGATTAAAAAAAGGGTCTGCACTATCTTTGAACCATGTTTATGTTTGTTCTTTGTCTAACAAAATAATTGTGGTACATTTGGGATAATGTATTTTTATGTGAGATATAAATAGATACATTTTCTACTTACTTTTCAGTGTTTATTTTTTGTCTCTATATGCATTTATACAATATTTATTGAAATTTTTGACTGTCCAGACCTGATAACAGTTCTCTATGGATGCTTTAGTCATTTTGGAAAGGATGACTGATATACTGGCAAGGTGCAACTTGTTCCTTAGATCTAGATAGAAGACAACTGCCTTTTCTTATATTCAGTTTGAGTAACTAGAAGGGGACAATGTCACTACAAGTCTGTAGTTTTCTGAAGATGTGAATTTTGTATTTTGATAAGTAGCTGTTGTAATTTGTCTTCAGAAGGGTGTAGCTGAACCCTAAACTGAGGAATGTAACTGCACCCACATATGGGTGTCTTGAGTTCTATCTCTGGGAACTGCTTTATTCTTGAGAGTCGTTACATGATTGACTTATGCTGATTGCATGGTGACTTTGGCTAGTTAAAATCAGCCAGTTGGAGGCGAATTCTTGTCTTGGAGGGGATGTCAGTTCGGATCTGTGTGGAGAATGAAACAGTGCTCCTGTAAGATACCTGTCTTTCGGTCTCAAGGTAAAGCTATCCCTGTAACAGGCTGTGGAGACCCATACAGTTGTGAGATGTCAAGGCTCCCACATTTTCTTGACATTTGGCTCACAGATGATGGTGAGGTTGTCAGCCTTACATGCTGGCTGCCTTTTACCACCCAGGAAGATTCCTGATACTCATTTATGTTAGATAGTGAATCAACCCTTCCATGGCTGGAAGGATTAGGCCAATTGAAAAATCCAGTAACCTCATCGGGAATTGAATCCGTGACCTACCAACATAGTGCCTCAACCAACTACACTATCCCCCCCCCCCTTCAGGACTTGGTGTCTTAATTTGAGTCAGGTGATTTGGCTTCACTCATATTTGTCTAAAGTAATCAGGCCTTCATTTTGGAATCTTAAATTTTGGCAATATTAAAGAGCTGTATTTTCTTGCACAGAGAAAGTTGCAAAGTTTTGCAATGAAAGAAGTAAGCAGTTTATTAACAGTGGAAGTTGTTGTTTATGTTGTTGATTTGGAGTAGTGGACTGACTTCAAGGGGGCAGTTTCCAGTTGCCTCACTTAGTGCTGTGGCAAGAACCTGGGAGGAGTTACATTGTCTATTGGAGCCTGCATATAACTACAAAGAAAGGAGAAGGGATGGTTGCAAAATATTTTGGTTCCCTTTGATAAAACACAATCTTAGGTGCATATATGACTATAGTTATACTGATTTTGTGATTCAGGTTAACTCTTTATAATGGACCTCATAGAGAAGGTGCTCTTTATCCTGTCACCTAAGGATGGAAACAGATTCAGTTTCTGAATCATGTTTTTTTCATATAAGATTTTGGACAAAGTCCAAAATCTCAGTAATCCCTAGTATTGTACACCACTGTCATGCAGTTACCGGTTTCTGTACACTTTGTAGTGGATGCAGTTCATTCTGATTGTTGGTGAGAAACTGTAATTATACACAATTTAAGTCTGATATTTACAAACTTTGTAACTTTTCTTACACTAGCACATTACACAAATCTGGTAAAGCTTGTCATTGCCA